ACACACACACACACACACACACACACACACACACACACACACACAAATATTCCCTCACACTGTATCCTTGACAATAGCTCCCTAATGTTTCAGCAGTGACAGGCTGAGGGTAATGCCCATTACAGATGTCTGCCCACACATGACAGTTGACACGATCAATATGCCTCTGCTGCTCCGCCTCGGATCGTCATTCCAAGAAGCCTTGGAACTGCGACCTTTACTGACACCTGCAGATCTAGTGGGAGTTTTGCTCGGTGACGTTACAAAATAGGTGCAGTTACTGTAGCTGCACTCCACAAATACCATAAAGCTAAATAAAAGAAAATCACATTTTGGTTATGCAAGCTGGAACAGTTACAGGACTCTGGGTCTAATTTGTAGAAGAAGAAGAAAAACCCTGTCCACTTATTATTACTAGATTTCAGTTCACAAGCAGAAAATGGGAACTAGTGCCCAGTATAGCAGCAGGGAAAGACCCAATTAGACAGTGACATGTCTGTCAGTGGAAGGCAATGGTGTTGTGGGGTCTAGAGGGGCCCTTTAGCTAGAGACTGGGCTATCATACAGGAAGCTGCTTAGAAAGGAAACCATAAGCTTTATTCGCAAAGCTTCTGTGGAAACATGAAGAGTGAAAACATGTAAAATGTAGTATTTCATCACATGCCTAAAGTGGAGCCTACTCTGTATGCACTCCTATTTATCTCCTTCTGTAACCCCAGAGGAGGAGTACAGGTCTACCTTTGCTTCAGTTGACAGTTGTGCTCTATCGGGAGCACTATGATACAGTAAGTAGTATAATACATGACAACATATCTTGGGCGCTCTAAAGCTTTTTGTCTCTAGTTAGCTTGTTAGGAGTGTGTTTTTGACACTGTGTGCTAGGCATGGTGACAACAGAGTATGCTACTTCTATCATGCTACCATCTCCCCAGTGCAACCCCCTCCCAGTCCCGCAGAGGTTTATCACGGGCTGCATATCAAATGTGCACCTCGACAAGTCGTCAAAGCAGAGAACAAGTGCCTCTAGAGCTATGCTATTTACAGCAATACCAGTTTGTGATTGCTTGAAATGTCAGAACTGTGTCATTAAATTGCATTTCAGTTGCATGCACTTGACCTTTTCGTTTTGCATTTCATAATCCATATCACAGAACTATTAATTGGGACTGTTGATTAGACAGCGCTGTTTTTGCAGGGGTCACCTTGGGCTCTGAGCTTGCAGTGGACATTTTTAGTCATCCTGACAGATTTGCTCTAGGGATAGGACTCCTGGTCAATATTTCAAAATCAAACAGAATAATTTCACAGTTCAGTTTTATGGCAGTGAGTTTGGCACCATGCTGAGATTCATATTTAGATTAGACGCACTTCTTGAAAAGTACTATGCAAAACTCACACACTGTTCATCTGCTGTAGATAGTATTTTTAGACCTTTTTACCTTTTTCCTTTGCATTCTGGTTGTCAAGTGTCCTGAAATGTTTTATGATATGCCAAATATTCAGCTAATAGCTCTTTGGGAATCACCTTGCTGGTGCAAAAATACTCTTTATTCCTTTAAAACTGAAAATGAATGAAAATGACTTTTTCAGCATTTTCAGGTCATTGTAACAAAGAGCCTAAAGATATGATTTAAAATGAGTTTTTTGCAAAATTTTTAAAGGTCAACATTCCTCAGGTCAGGTACAAGGATCAGACTGAAATGAGTGAAAAATCAATCAATCAATCAATCAATCAATCAATCAATCAATCAATCAATCAATCAATCAATCAATGCTTTATTCGTCACATGCAGGTTGCCCTGCAGTGAAATGGGACCCCCCCGACCTTACACATTTAGCACAAACATTACATGGGGATACAGGTCGGAGATTGGTAGAATCAGAGAAAAAAAACATTGAAATGTACACTACAATGGGGAAAGTACAAGAGGAAAAAAAGAGACCCCTACTCATGCTATGCTTCCATGGTAGGACAGCATGAGAACAGGAAACAAAAAAACTCCTCTGCACAAAAAAGCACATAAATGTCCACAGCACAACATTGTGAAGACATGACAAGCCACAGGGGTGGCAGCCAATGTCCAAAGAAAAACTTTGAACGACTTCCAGAAAGCCTGGAGGACTATTACTTCAGACTACTTACTACTATACTTTTGCATGTATGTCTATGCAGCACTAAATAATGTGATCAGCTACTTAAATATATAACTGCTATTAAATAGCAGTTTAAAGTCTCCATATTCGCTTCCTTTATGTATTTTATCATATTCCTTTCTGTCACCTCCTATGCACCTCATGGCAGATTTTGAGTATTTCATGCAACAAGTTCATTTGTTGTGTTCACCACAACACATCACGATACGATTAGGTGCAGTATGATTTGCATTTTTTCTACATATAACAATTTAGTCAAAGCTGCACAAGGCCACCTCTTTTGTTAAAGCTGTCCTTTCTCCTTACAGCATCTTACACAATGAAATTGCAGTTGCCAAATCCTCATTGCCTATGCACAAATTGTCTCTCTTTTCCCCTCCTTTTTTTTTTGCAGCCGATTTGCAGTTTAAGTGGTTTTGTGACCAAACAAGCTTGTAGTACAATGCTCTAACAAACTCACAGTATGTGTTGCAGACACACACACATGCAGAAGAAATTAAAATGTGTGATTTACATGCATGTCCTGAGGTTACAAGTGCCCTGCTAGTATAAATTTGTGGCCTCACACTCCCACGATTATTGCTGTGGGTCATATGGACATGTTTTGTGTTCAGCAAGACCTCTCAAAACAGCATCCTACATTCCTACCTAAATGCCCATTATCTGTGCTTGGCAGAAATACACATGCCTCTTATTTCCTAATTTATTATCACTTCTGTTATGTAATATTTCTATCAGAAGGCTGTAGCTGGCCTTTCAAACCAAAAATCAATTTGTTTGAGTTCTTTGATGACATGAGGCTGTGTGTTTTTCTTCTTAAGGGATTTAGATGGAAATGGGGATGCATGCATTAGAGAAGATATACAGGAATGCTTGAAAGCATGCAGGCACTTGACTATAAACCCACATACTCACTCAGGTGTGGATTTAATGAACAGGGTGTTTGTGTCTTTGAGGTTTCCTCTGTGGGGATCCTGTGTAAAAAAAAAAAAAAAAGTCGCTCTAAAAATAAGTTTTGAATCAGATTTTTTATCTAAAACCCTATCTTGATAGATTTTTGTAAATTAACTCTAATATTAACAGAACCACCCTTTTGTCTCAAATATAATTTCCCAGGTGCAATGCTTTGGCAGCTTTGGAAATGCTGAAAGACAAAGAACAGTGCTGATCAGAGCTGGAGAAAACACAGAGAGGATTGAGAGGCTCCATCCAATCAGCACTAGGAAGCGCTAAGCCATGCCCACCACACATCTGTACAATGACGTCAGAGTCCAGTGGACTGCAGCACACTGACAGGTCTTTTTATGTGACTAATGTGCAGGAGGGCTTAGTAACCCGTGATGGCAAAGGTGCTGCATGTCCACAATCCTACTATGCAGTAGGAGTTTATAACAGCACTCTTGCACGTCAACATCTTAAATGCCTTCATTGCTGGCTAAAAATTAAGCAACTTCAACTCCTTATTCACACATCAATACAAGCACTTTTTTCTATGCTCTTTCTATGTAAGTTTTTTCTATCTAGCATTCACAGTCATTCACATTCATACTCCATTGGATGCATTGGAGAGCAATTTGGAGTTAGCATCTTTTCCAAGGATATTTGGCATGCAGACTCAAGCAGATGGGGGTTATTGATTTAATTGATTGTTATCGATACAGTAAGCCAAAAAAAAAAAAAAAAAAAAATACATTTACCTGTGTCTTTACTATAATAAGAAGTCAGAAGGTATACTGACACCACACAGCTAATAATGTGTGTCTCTTTTAGAATGTCTCCATCTTGGTTATATTCTAAAAGCGTCTAATCTTACGTTATGATTTCAAATGTAAAGTCAAGCTCACGGTGAATATGTGGTATTGTGCTACAGTGCTGAGGGTGAGTTTTGAGAAGCAGTTCAGGGGTGCAGACTCAGCTCAGTCTGCTAAATGAGATCTGCTGCTCCACTGCTGGAAATGCTGTTAACCTGCTATGTCAAGAGCAAATACTTTGATGTCTCCCAGAACCAAATCCCTCTGTCGGGTGTGAGGACACCAGTGAGTTCATCCTACTCAGCTTCACGGAGCTCACCGAACTGTGGAACACACCATGAACTGCTTGGGTATTTCCTGTACTGACTAAACTAGATTTGCTATCTCAATAACAGCTTAACACTATTCTTGTGGATCCAATTATGATAGTCTGAGATACAAAATGTTAACTTGAATGCTGGCATGTAGTTCCATGAAAAGAAATAAAGGAGCCCGGACAGTGAATTGAATTAAACCATTCAATAAAGTGGATTCATCTCATGAAAAGGTCACTTGATGAGAGAAAATTGAATGAAAACTGGATACATGTCACCCCTGGTTGGAAGTTTGTTAGAGCAGAAATGCTTCTCTCTTTTTTTTTTTCATGTGATAAAAGAAGTCTGTAGCCAGTAAGCTTGTTTTAACCTAGATGAATGAGTCCTTTTTTCCATAGAAACATTGCATCTGCATTAGCATTTCTAAAGAAAGAGATGGTAAAAGTGTGGAATTGTTTCTGAAACAACCCGATAATTGATAGAGACCTGAGAAAAAAAGGCTAAGAGTCATTGTGTATCTGCTTAAAAATGTAAATGGCAATAATGAGGTGCACTTGTACATTTGTTTAGTTCAGACAATTTAGTGTTTAAAGTGAAATGTATCAACTGAATGCTGAACAGGGAAAAAAAACTAACGAGAACGGCACATTTAAGGCGAAGGTGAAAGACTTCTATGTCTAATCCATTGTGTGAATGACACTAATAGCACAGCAGGCTTATAGGAAGACAATACAGTCAAAGAGGGTAAAATGTGTAACTAAAGGATGCCATCAATCCCAAAGTTTCCTGAATGTTTATGCATAAATATGCTTCTTTTTTTTAAGTACAAAGAAATCTCAGTATAGAAGCCTATACTGAGGCAGTTTTGTTGGCACATTGGAGTTAAACGTCACATAAGACAAAAAAAACAACCAAATTTTCCATGTTTATAGAAATTTGTTTATCTGCCTCTGAATGATACATGACCAAGGGCCAGTGTTCTGCAGGTTTTAGATGTCCTTGATCCAGCACAGCTGATTTAAATGGCTAAATCACCTCCTCAACATGTCTTGAAGTTCTCCAAAGGCCTGGAAATTAACTAATCATTTGATTCAGGTATGTTGACCCTGGGTGAGATCTAAAACCTGCACCTCGAGGCATGGAGTTCCTCACCCCTCCTTTAGGTGAAGACTTCTGGCTCAACAGTACATAGTAAAATATCATTTTAAGAAAAGCATTAAAAGCCTAAATTTAATACATAAAGTTTACTGTAAGTAACTGATACTTTCCCAGTTGATAATAATTACTATTTAGTATTTCTGATGTAAATGGGGTATCCTCTCATAAATATCCAATGGAGTAGTAGTTCAATAAAAACCTATTGTGCATGTTTATTTTGACCATTACTCTGAAATTAATCTTATTATCTAAGAAAAATCATCTAAAAATGACCAGTGCACGAAACATATTTTTGTCTGCTGGTGTCTTTGATACTAAACAACATCGTTGCAACACCCTGCAGATTGAAGTTGTCTTAAACGCTTAAGCCATTATTCACCTGAAACGGCCATCTTTCTCCCACTGAGTGAGGACAGCACGCCATCCAGACAGCATGTTTTAGACAGTGATAGCTTCTCCTGTTGTCACACAGAAAACGATTGCCTCATTTGAGTAATTTAAGCATCCTTCTGCTCCTCCAATCAATACGGAGCTACAGTACACTCCAAAAAAAGGCGTTGACAACCTAGTAAGAGTTTACGCTACTTTTTAGAAATTGCGCAAGTAAACGGTACTACCACAAAGCAAGCATTGAGGGTTTTGTTTTTCTAAAACAGCTTTTAAAAAAACTGTCTTTTAAAAATGTATTCGCTGGAAATATTTATTTACATGTTTTTTTCTTTTAATTTATCTTTTAAATTAGTACAAAAAAACACAATAGTCTACACATTCTTGTCCCATTTTGTTTTATCCGCCTTAAAAAAGGAAAAAAGAAATGAAAATAAGTTGAAATGACTGTAACAAAAGGCCATTTTTACAGTGTACAAACAGAGCGAACGTGTGTCTCTGCTGCCAATTTAGGCACCCGGTATGTTGTTGGCTGAGCCTCGCTGTGATGCTCTGACTGATTATTGGTGAAGCCAGAGGAGGAGGGAAGCAGTAATCCGCGCACAGAGCGACCCATCTGAGCCGCCAGCAGAGCTGCTTGCGGCGGGCGTGGAGAGACTATGGAGCTGCCGGGGTTTACTCTCAGTTCAGATCGCTAAAGGATACAGACTAATATACCGCATGCGAGTGGGGACGTGCAAGAAGACCAGTGAAGAGAGCTGACTCGTTTTCACTTTAATTGTCCCGGTTGTCCTTCTCCCCGGAGCGTTACGCGTCGTACCGGAGCGCTCCACCTTCTGATGCCGGGAGCGCAGAGCCGGGTCAGGGGCTGATCCGAGTCCTCGCCTCGGATCGTTTTACAGTCTCTGTGACGCATATGAGCTTAGTTTAATATTTTTTAATTAAAGAATCAGCTGGGGATTGTTTGCCCATCAAAGGGATTATGATTTTCTCAGACATGAGTACGGGGACCAACTCCCCCAAGGTGCATCCACCGAACGGGACGAGGTTTTACACGTTCCAGGCAAGTTAACTGCTCGTCTTCAGTCCACCTTTTGCTTGTTTTGTTTACTGAAATGTCAGCTGCTTGTTTTTGTCTATTTGTGTTGACCGTATTTTTTTTCCTTGTTTTGAGTGCCTTGTGGCTTTTATTATGGTAAATTGTAGACGGATTTTCTGCGGAACCGTGGATGTTGGGTGTTTCCTATCTGCGTGCAGTGCCCCTCAGAATCCCCTCGGTAAACTCAACCCTTTGTTTTCCACGACTTTGTATTGTGCTTACATTGCAAAGTGCTGTGTTTTGAATTTGTTTTGGATTTTGAGAGATCTTGGCCAAAATTCTCTATACTCGAATTTACCAAAGAATAATTTGGTAATAACTTGTCTAAGATCTTAAAGGAGAATAGTGCAAAACATCTTCACACTTTCTCTTGATGAATAAATCATCTGACAGTTGGATTGTGTGAAACTGCAATTCAGAGTTCATATAAATCTGTATAATGATTTTTAATGATTAATGATCCGCCCACGTTTGGTTTGAAGAGAAATAGGGACATATGTGCACAGTGCCCTACATTGATTACTGTG